CTGAGAGCTGTTTGAGGAGTTTGTCCTTACCTTGGAGGTGGTGGGGAGCTTATGAGGGGATGTTTAGCGGGGAAATGATCACATTTTGTTTCAGAAAGATCATGCAGAAGACAGGGTAGAGAATGGGCGGGAAAGGGGCAAGCAGGTGGCCAGAAGCCTAGTGAAGAACACGAAGCGATCTAGGGCACAGGTGATTCTGATCTGAGTGAGGAAAGAGACCTGCGTGGGAGTGAAGGAAAACGCTGAGTGAGGAGATGCTGAAGGAGTAAGACTGGCGTGAAATCGCTCCGAGTGTAGGCAGAAGAGTGGGAAATGAGTGGAGAACACACCCCACATTTGAGAACTGAGCAGTGGTACTTAGGTTAACTGACTTTTTTTTTTTTTTTTTTTTCACTCTGTTTCAGTCGTTTTGGTAACCTGATCGAAGTTTACCTCGTGTCGGGAAAAAACGTGGGGTACGCCAAGTTTGCAGACAGAATGAGCGCCAACGATGCCATTTCGACTTTGCATGGGAAGATTCTGAACGGGGTCAGGCTTAAAGTTATGCTGGCGGATTCCCCAAGGGAAGAGTCAAATAAAAGGCAGAGAACTTACTGATTCTCAGGTAAGCACTTCTTCAACACATTGGTGCAATAGTATAGGAAGAGGAATATACTATATAAAGTATTGCAGTTAGAGGAATATACTATATAAAGTATTGCAGTTGTGCGCTTTTCAGAAAGCACTAGTTAAAAGTACTTTAGCTTAAAACTGCTGGCAAAGCCAAAATTTTTCAAGTTTATGTTTAAAATATAAAGTATTTAAACTTAAAAATAGTTTTTGACATTTAGTGGAAGAATATTTGTGCTCTTTTATAAATAAAATCAGGTCTCAATTTAAGAAATGCATTGCTTTTATCTTAGATCGAAAGAACTGAACATTATACTGCATATTTACTAAATAAACTTTAAAATTAAAATACTTGTAAAGGTTTTTAATGTGAACAACTGGTGTCTTGAGTAATGAATTGAAATAATTTTTAAGAATTTTTATGAGGAATGTTTTTACTTCTAGTAAAATGCTCAGTAAGCAGTAGTAAATAGTGTATTTTCTTTAGCCTCTTTAACCTAAATATTGGTGTTTTCCTGGATTTATGTTCATGAGTTTGTGCATTAAAAGTACACATTCAGAAAATATTATTGTGTGCATATATGTATTTTTCAAAAATCCTAACCATTTACCAAAAACTCTTGTTTATTATGAATACTGACATATACAGCCATATTATTACCTTTCCTATTTGTTTTCCAAAGTCATTTGTTTTCCAAAGTTTTCTTAGTTTCTTTTTCTGTGACAGGTTATATTTCTGTAGTTCAAGATAACACTCTTTAAAGTTAGTTTTTTTTTTTAATTCTGTAAATGAATTCTGAGTTTCAGGGAAAGCTGGATTTCCTAATTTGCAGATGCATAATCCTCCTAAGTCTACTGCAATTCAGATGAATCCATTTTGAAGTGCCCAGCTTAAAACCATTTCTTTTTTCATTTAAGGGGTCTTTCTGATTAGTTGAGCTATCACCTAATAGGTATCAAGATGAATCATTTTAGGTCATACTGGTAAGGCCCCTCCTCTCATAGAGCAAATCAGCTGATTAGTTTCTCTTTCAGAGAAGGCATTTGGGAATACAAAGTGCCCACTTGGTGCCCATTATGATAATTGTGCTTTTAAAATATTTTATTTCATGACAAAATCTATTCTCATTGTTCACAGTGTTAGCAGTTTAATCCCAGAAATATTAAATTACCAATGAAAAATAATTAGCATTTTTCCTGTTTATGAATAAAATGTTGAGACATGCTATCTTCTAAACATGCTATTCTATTTAGACATACCGTCCTATAAATTCCTTGCAAAAGTTACATTTATTCCTGACTGTGAATATTTTAATGTTTAAATATTCTTACTTCTGTTGAAAAAGGACATTAACATCAACTTCCTACTATAAAAAAGAATATTAATTACTTTCATGGTTGAGCTTTTCCTAATGATTATGTACATTTTAGTAAGAATATTGGACTTAAAATCAGATCTGGATTGAAATTATGGATCCAATAGCTCTTTTGATTAGGCAACTCTTTTTACTTTTGCAAACCAGGTTGCTTTACAGTTATTGAGAGACAATAACACAGCAAAATTTCTTGTAAAATTTTAAAAATAAAAATTTTTAAAATGTTTTGCAAGTATGAGCTAAAACCCTTGCATTTATAACTTCAATGAAACCTTTGAGATATAACATCTCATTCAAAATAATGACAGTCAAATGATCAGAAAGAATTAAGTGTAATGATATGAAACTACTTTAAGGGCAGGTGGTATTGGGAGAACTAACCTTTATAATACTGTCTCTTTCCTCTTGAAAGTGATGTACATTCATCCATTTCCCTACATTAAAGGAATCGCATACTCACCAGAATACTAATCATGTAGAAATAAATCTACCATTTTTTTCTTTTATTGTATGCAGGGCAAAGATAAAGTAAGATCAGACTAGTTCAAATGGTTACTTGGGTAGGATATAATTAGCTCTAATTTTAATGCCTTCTAATTGTAGCATGGCTTGTTCATTTATTTTTGCTATGCATCTTTTATTTACCAAGGACTCCATAATGAGAGTGTCTTCGTTTTTTGGTGTGTTATATAAACCTATAGCATACCAATACTCCCAGCAATTCATTGGGCTGAAGTAGGAAGTTCGCTTGAGTCTAAGAGTCCAGGCCATCCTGGGTGATGTAGTGAGACCCTGTCTCTAAATAATAAACAAACTTGCTTGAAGGTTTGCCAAAAGTGTATGATAGACTTTCTCAAATGTAACATGATTTTGTTTTAATATGGGTCCTATGTGCATAATAATATATTTCCCTTACTAGCCAAAGAAAATAAACATAAATTATTTCAGAGCATCTGATTTTTTACTAATTCACAGCATTTTCCCTCTAGAAGTTCAATACAGTACCTGCATGCATCATTCTTCAGAGTAAGTTTGATTTTGCTTATTTGGAAGCAGCTGTGATTAAACAGACCACATTAGTTTTATTGAAATAAAAGAATTCCTAACATTTTAGGAATGCTGTTTATAGCAGCTATTTCAGGTGATGATTTTCATACTTGTGTTGTGTTCTTTCTACAGAACAAAGACTAAATAATGACATAATCCTCAGCTGACTGACTGAAAATGTGACTGGACGCACTCCCTGTGGACAGCTGACAGCTTTTTTTTTCATATACCTGATAGTCTGCACAACATTGTTTTATCAGCAAATCAGGGGTGGCTGACATGTATTATAAAATCCATACCTTAATGCTAAAACTAATATCGTAGTTGTCTTTAGAATAATATGTTGTTAAGTGTGGCAGAAATGAAGTCTCTCAGAAAAACAGAAACTGTTGTTATGTATAGCAGAAATAAAGTTTTCTTTGCTTAAATAAATTATGACTTTGGTCAATCCTCATAATTGATCTAAAACTTGATTCCCTGAAGTTTTCACCTATTAGTCTTAACCTTTTTCACGGGCCACATTGGAGAAGTTAAATCTCTCACTCTCTCATATGGTAGCTACTGTATATGTTCCTGCTATCCAAGTTTTTTTGTTGGAATTAGGTGATCCTAGTGGCTGCATGTAAGGACAGGCCACCACTCTCAGCAGAGACATGCGTCAGTAGAGTGCCTGGTCTAAGTTTCTTTCTTTGGGTTCTTCATACAAATTTAAAAGAGACTTATAATACATCTTGACTATAAAACACGTATTTGCTGTTTTAGTAGAAGCAACCTTCTGCTTTGTTTTCTTTCCCCGTAACATGTAGATAAACAATGTTTGTTTTGGCTTCTGTGTGCACTGCTTTCTAAACCTCTCATTTAGCCTAAGTCTTGCTTTATTCTCTTACAGTTGATCTCTACAACCTTATTTTTAAAAGATAGAATGTTGTATTTTTCTTAAAATGAGGAAATTGTAGAACCTAAAGAGTAAGGTTTTGTGAACTAGTGCTTAAGCCTTCACTTTTCAGTGAAGTCATGTTTACTTCTCAGATGCACTTTGGATATAAAAAAAATACGGTTATTTAGTTGTGCTGCAAATATCAAGTGTTAAAACTTCAAACATAGTAGAGTTTTATTGCATATTTCTTTTTAAAAATTAAAAATGAGACAGACATGGTGGCACATGCCTATAATTTTAGTGGTCTGGGAGGCTGAGGTAGCAAGATCACAAGTTCAAGCACAACCTAGATTGTCTCAAAGCAAAAATAAAAATAAAAAAGACTAAATATAGCTCACTGTGAATGCCCTAGGTTCAACCACAGTGCTGCAAAAAATAAAAAATTTGAAAAGTAAATACAGATCAGTAAGCCTCTTTGAATTTGTAGAAAATAATAAGTGACACTTAAAGCCTAATCAAATCTTTATTATAAATTTATGAAGTTGGGTCCTATATTGTGTAAAGGCAGAACTGTATTCTTTAAAATAGCAAAAAGGAATTTTCATGGTCAACTACAAAATGGCATTATAAGATGTGTTCATCTTGCCATACATAAAAGTTAATTAAAATGCCAAGGAAAATATTACAGTAAAGTTTTGGCTTTCCCTAAATTTTGCTTTACAGTATATTATTTGGATCCTACTCAGTATTAATGAACCCATAAAAAAATAGAAATAAGCAATTTCCGCCACTAGGTGATGATAAGTATTGACATTCAAAAGCAGTGAAGTACAGTACTCTACCATTATTTAAGGCGCTGAGCCGGAAAATGAGCTTTCATGCCTTAAGCAAAGGTTCTTAACCTTTGGTGTCCTTGGAAGCAGCTTGAGTGTTTGAAATACAGGTATAATGTTTCTACAGGTTTAGAGTTTTCAACAGGCTCCCTAAGTGATTCTGATCGATGGTAATTAGCTTTCAGTTTACAATATATTGGCCTAAAGAGATTCCAGATGTTGGACTTTAGGTTGGACTGTTATAAAAATAAGACTCTGAGAAGTTGTTTCCAAATTTTCCCACATTGGATGTTTTTTAGAATTAAGCAACTGCTTTTGCTTCCATTTAATATCCGTAAATATGAATTGCATTAAGAAATTGAAAAACACAAGACATTTCAAAATAGTGGCCTATCTTTCTGATGTTAGTATTTTGATATTTTTAAAGAATGGCAATTTTTTTGCTTTATGTCATTTAAAGCTTCTACCTAATTTTTATTTACCATTATTTTAAGTGAATTATGTAAAGAATTTATCTTCAAAATTGGAGCTCTAAAGAATGTAGGTACATATTCTTTTAAATGGCAACGGAATATGAGAGATACAGTTATCAATTGCACAGAAACCCAAATGAAATAATCAAAAGTGTACAGAAATATATCTAAGTATGCGATTATCTTTATAATCATAAAGTGAATGATTTTATAAAATGCTTTTTTGTGTACCCCCCAAATTGTTAATTTATAGGTACATCTTAATTTCCAATAAATTAATAAATACATAAAACTAAAAATGAAGGTAAGAACAAATGAGATTAAATAATTTTTTCTCCTTGATATAGACACATACAAGTATAATTTCTCTTCTGTATAAATGTTAAGCTCTCTTAACCTATTTCTGCCAAAGATTGCAATTTTTGAATTTTTGCATGAGATTCATATATGTAACCTAGAAACATTCAAGGAACAAAAATTTGAAGAGAAAAATTATTTTGTTCCATATCTATAGGTACTCCAAAATGGAACACTAGACATTTAAGGGTTAAAGTCCTAGTAGTAATTTTTCTCCTTGATTCACGTAAAGAGGAAAAACCTTCAGGTCATCCACATTTGATATGAAGTTCCATTTTAATATATGAATTCTAATAAATGGATTGCATTATTTCCTTTTCTAGAAACAGTAACTCAAGATCACATGGATCCTGGGAACAGAAGGTATGGTATTGCTAGAAAGTCACATGAAATACTTAGTTAAAATATGAAATTGCAGTTTGTGTATTACAATCATTATACTTCGATCATGATACATTCAGCTACATTTTCTCCTGAGGGCAAGTCTCACTATACTTTGAGAAATGTACCAGGCTCTATTTAAAACCATTTGAATAATGGTCACAAAATAAAAAAAGTTTCACGTGTGAATTGAAACCAGTGTATGGATATCAAGGACCATATGAGCAAGTACTTACAACAGGAAGAAAAGTGGTCTTTCCAGCTTCTTTGTCCTGAGAACTTTGAACTTATTCCTAGGAAGTCCCTACACTTGTAGCCTAGAGCTGATGGACCTCCTAGGATTTCCTCAGGGAAGTTTTCTGACCACCATGCAGATACTGTATTACATCAACACTCAAGTGGACAGTAAAAGATCTGAAAGCAATCCCTGGTGTCTGCACATTCCCCTGAAATTGGCCAAGGTAAATCTGAACTCATTGAGAAATGGGTAAATAGAAAAGATGTTTCAGGTAAGATCATTTAAGGAGGCCAACAAAAGACAGTGGTTTCTTTTTTTGTCAAAGAACAAGAGAAACATTATTTTACTTTGACAGTTAGTACTAGTTTAAAAATCTTTTAGAACACCATTGGTCCATGTTAGTCATTAAGGAAATGCAAATGAAATCTACAGTGAGATGTTGATAGTGTAAAAACAAGAAGAATTAACATATTGGCAATACTAAGTGAGGGTGGAGCAATGGGAGCTGCTGGTGGGAGGGTAAATGGGCTCAATCTCTTGAGATAATGTTTGACAGTGACTTCAAGTTGAACATACATGCAACTCTCAACTCAGCAGTGCCACTTCTAAGCATGTAGCCCACAGAAATGTGTATGCATATCTATCAGAAGACATACAGAGCATTCTTAGCATCATTCATAATACTTTCATACTGAGAACAGCTCGGTTGTCCATGAACAGAATGGGTACTTGGAAAGGGTTGCTTTCTGGATCAAGACGGTGAGCTAACTTTTTCTTTGGTGTGAAGGAATCTTATAGACATCCTGAGCAAAAGAAACCGGGCCACAAAAAGAAAATGTGCTATTTGACTTTCTCTTAAATAAGAATTTAAGGGCTGGGGATTTAGCTTAGCGGCACAATGCCTGCCTGGCAAGTGCAAGGTCGTGAGTTCAATTCCCAGTACTGGAAAAAAAAACAAAAAACAAAACAAAACAAAAGAATTCAAAAGCACCTTTGGGAAGAATGAAATAGGGAAATGCATTCACAAGGAGGGGAGGCTGGGATGCGCTAGAAATCTTGTCTTTCTTGACCGGAACGGTGATGATCTTGTATTAATATTTGAGCTGTACTCTGTGGCTTACACATTTCAAATACACTTTATTCCTCCCAGACATAGATGGCAAGGAAGGTTGGAAAACACCTGCTGAACTCTCCACTGTGGTGCAGCAGGCATTGTTATAACAAGGCAAGAAAAGAGAAATGCTAAATAAAAATTTTTATGAAAAGCAGTAAATGGTCTTGGCACTAAAATAATCTAATTCATGATGAACAGTGGATATTAAACTGCTTTTTGGAAGCCAGTGGGTTCTCATGAGCCCACAAAGAGGTTCTCCCTCACCACCCAGATACGAGCTGCCTTCCTCACTGTATATATTGTGCATAATAAGCTTTCTTTGAAGAGATTCTTCAGCTTGACAATAAACAAAAGGCTCCACAGCACATGATAAGCTTAATAAAGCACCTAGGTTGGATGCAACCACAATGTTTAAAACTACTTCTTAGTAGCTAAATTTATTGAGCTCTTGTCGTTTCTTTATCAGGCACTGGCTAGTTGCTTTACATGCATCTCAAAAGCCTCTGAGGTAAGTACTACCTTTTTATTTTAGTGATGCTGGGGACCAAACCCAGGACCTCACATGTGCTAGGCAAGTGCTGTAAATCTGGATTGCACCTAGCCCTAGAAGTAATGTTTTATAAACAAGCAGATAAAATAGTGATGAAGTAACATTATCTTCAGGGTCCCAGTCATCAAATATGGAACAATATTAAATATCAGTGGCTGTGAGGAAGGTTATGGAAACAATACATACGGCATAATGGTTTGGTAGTTCTTGGGGAAGGTTTTTGTTCTTGGCAACTAGGGCACTTGACTGAGTGCCACATGGCAGTCAGAGAGGCAGCATAAGATTTCGATGTTGGGTAGAAGAAAATGTCCCAGCAGTAAGTACACTGGTGGGAACCTTGCCCCCACCCCTATCCTGCAACCAGCTGACCACTAAATCTTCCCTGAAAAGTGCTGTGTCTACCTGCGGGGTGAAGAAACATCACTTCAGTCCTGGTACCGTGAGGCTTCCAGAGATTTGTCCTTACAAGAATTCCAAGCTTCTCATCTGGAAGCTGCCTTTCCAGAGCTTGGTGAGAGAGATTGCCAAGAATTTCAAAACAGACTTGAAGTTTCAGAGTGCAACCACTGGGGCCTTCAGGAGGCTGGTGAAGCACACCTGCTGGGTTACTTGAAGATTCTGATCTGTGCCATCCACACCAAGAGAGTCACCTTCGTGCCCAGAGACACCCAGCTGCATCACCAGATACAGGGAGAGAGAGTTTAAGCGAAGGCAATTTTTATTGTGTTTTGAATATAGTAAATTCTGTGAAATGCTTTGGTTGAATTGGTGACTTTTTGTAAGAAATTATTTGTAATATGTTGCGTTTGTACATAAGTCATTCCATCTTTCACTCAGGATGAGTGGGAAAAGTGATTGTTCACAGATTTTAGTGGTGTGAGCACTGTTGCTCAGGAGTGACACGGTGCTAATATGCAGGAGGATGGCTGATAGCTCTTGCTTCTCAGGATGCATATTTCTGTATGTTAATGAACTACTGGGTAGCTATTAAGGTAACAATTGATAAATGTGTGCAGGGTCCCCTTGCAATAAAGCTGGTTATGATTTGATCAAAGTGTCTAACAATTGGGGAAGTCTTGCCATGCATCACTATGATGGAAGGTGGACTGCTTGAAGGGTGAACATACAAGTCTTAACCACGGTATAGCTTTCCTAAGAAAAGGTAATCCTAGCAGCTATAGAATAACAATGTGCATCTATAATAATTGTTTTGTATATGCTGTCAACACTTTTAAATTAAGTCTTTTACATTCACTGGTTTTAAAAAAAGAACCACACACACATACACACCAATTGAATATTGTGCAACAACAAATCCTTCTAAAACTATACAATAGCATGGAAGTAATGCTTACTGCGTAGTGAAAGCAAGCAGGATGCCAAATCACATATAGTGGTTGAAAATTTGTTCAAGCGAGAGTGAGTTGGAAAAAGAAGCAATATGTGTGTTTGTGTTTCAAACCCAAGTCTTGCTTACTAGGCTGATTTTTTTTTAATTCTGGTTTTTATTTTATGATTGTGTTGTTTTGTGCAGTCCTATTAGTGCCTGATTCATAATCCATATACAAATCAGCGACTTTTAAAAGATAGGTAACATTTGTTACTATGTCACCACTGTTCTAAACACTAGAAACTATTTTCCCATTTAACCGTCTAAGTAGGCCTGTGCGGTAATACCAAGAGACACAGGGAAATGCCAGGACCCAAGTAAGTTCACAGCTGGGATTCATATTCAGGAAGCATGACTCATTGACTTCACTTAAATTCACTTTAATTCAACTAAGTTATTTTTTGTGGTATGATGTCTTTAATTCTTCTGGGAAAATATCCAGAAGGGGAATAACTGGGTTAAGTGGGACTTCTAATCCTAGTTTTGTGAGGAATCTCCAAATTGATTTCCACAGTGATTTCACCAATCTACACTCTCACCAGCAGTGAAATAGGGTTCCTTTCTCCCCACAGCCTCTCCAGCATTTGTTACTGGTTGATTTCTTGATGATAACCATTCTTTCTGGGGTGAGATGGAATCTCAGTGTTGTTTTAATTTGCATTTCTTGAATGACTAATGATGTTGAACATTTTTTCATGTTTTTATTTGCCATTAGTATCTCTTCCTTAGAGAAATGTGTATTCATCTCAAATGCCCATTTTTGGATTGGGTCTTTGAATTTGAGGGGCCTGATTGTTTTTACTTCTTTATATGTCCTGGATAGAGGTCCTTTGTCTGAGGGGCAGTTGACTAAAATTTATTCCCAATTTGTGTGTTTTCTTTTTACTTTATTGGTGATTTCTTTAGATGTGCAAAAACTTTCAATAAGATGAGATCTCAGTTGTTAATTCTTCGAAGCATTTCCCGTGCAGTTTGGTTTTTGTTCATGAACTCTCTGCCTACCCCAATGTCTTCAAGATTTTTACCTACTTTCTCTTTCAATAAATTTAGTGTTTCTGTTTTAATATTTAGATCTTTGATCCATTTAGACTTTAATTTAGTGCGTGGTAAAAGACATGAGTCTAGTTTTAGTCTTTCGCATATGGAAAGCCAGTTTTTCCAGCAACATTTATTAAAGAGGCTATCTTCCTTCCATTGAACATGTTTGGCCCCTTTGTCGAAGATAAGGTGACCGAGTGTGCTTGTGGTTGTATCTGTAGCTTCTAATCTGTTCCACTGATCTTCAGGTCTGTTTTTGTGCCAGTACCATGCTGATTTTATTACAGTAGCTTTGTAATATAACTTTAAGTCAGGAATTGTGATGCCTCCTGCCTTTCCTTTGTTCCACAACATTGCTTTTGCTATTCTAGGCCTCTTCTGGCTCCAGATGAACTTTAGGAATGTTTTCTCTAGATCTATGAGGTATACTAATGATATTTTAATTGCATTGAATCTGTACAACAATTTTGGGAGTATGGCCATTTTCACAATGTTGGTTCTTCCAATCTATGAGCAAGGAATATCTTTTCCATTTTCTGATATCCTCTTTGATCTCTTTTTCCAGAATACTATAATTTTCACTGTATAGATCTTTTACTTCTTTTGTTAAATTGATTCCTAAGTGTTCCATCTTTTTAGATGCTACTGTGAAAGGTGTGGTTTCCCTAATTTCTCTCTCAGTCTGTTTGTTACTTGTGTACAGGAATGCTATTGATTTTTGAGTGTTAACTTTGTATCCACCTACACTACTGAATTTGGTTATTAAATCCATGAGCTTTTTGGTGGAGTTTTTGGGGTCTTCTATGTAGAGTATCATGTCATCTGCGAATAATGATAATTTCATTTCTTCCTTTCCTATCCTTATTCATTTTATTTCTCTCTTGTCTAATTTCTCTAGCTAACATTTCCAGAACTATATTGAATAGGAGTGGTGACAGAGGACATCCTTGTCTTGTTCCTGATTTTTAAAGTGAAAGCTTTCAATTTTTGACCATAGTATGATGTTAGCTGTTGGTTTATCATAGATGGCTTTGATCAGTTTGAGGTAAAGGCCGTCTATTTCTATTTTCTGTAGAGTTTTCATCATGAATGAGTGTTGGACTTTATCGAAGGCTTTTTCTGCATCAATGGAGATGATCATGTGACTTTTGTCCTTGGCTCTATTGACATGGTGTATTGATTTGCATATAATGAACCATCTCTTCATTCCTGGTATGAATCCCACTTGGTTGTGGTGTATAATCTTCTTGATTATTTGTTGTATTCTGTTTGCTAGTATTTTATTGAGAATTTTTGCATGTATATTCATTAGGGAGATTGGCCCATAGTTCTCTTTCTTAGTTGGGTCTTTCTCTGGTTTTGGTATCAGGATAATACTTGCTTCCAGGAATAGGTTGGGGAGAATTCCTTCTCTTTCAATTTCATTAAAGAGTTTGAGAAGAATTGGTGTTAAATCTTCCCTAAATTGCTTGTAGAATTCAGCTGTGAATCCATCAGGACCCGGGCTTTTCTTCATTGGCAAGTTTCTAATTACATTCTCAATTTCACTGGCTGATATTGAGGTATTCAGGATTTTTATATCTTCTTCATTCAGCTTTGGTAATCCATATGTATCTAGAAATCTTTCCATTTCATCTGTGTTTTCCATCTTATGAGAGCAAAGATTTTCAAAGTAGGTATTAATGATCTTTTGAGTTTTTTCAGGATCTGTACTGATTTCACCCCTTTCATTCCTTATTGCATGCATTTCACTTTTTTTTCCTTTTTTGATAAGGTTGGCTAGGAGTTTATCTATTTTATTTATTCTTTCAAAGAACCAACTCTTTGATTCATTAATTCTTTGTATTTTTTTTTTT